CCCCCCCCCTCCCTTCTGCCCCCATACCATCCCGATTTTTTCTTCTTAATTAAGATCATATTGAAAATGAAAATAGAGTACTGCATCAAAATTCCCATATGAAGGTTCATTTCAAACTAAATCAAATGCTATCTCTCTAATCTCCCTTTCTCCTCATTAGGTACGCTGCTAGTAGGAGAAGAAAAAAGGATTTTGCGGTATAAAAATTGAAAGTATATTGTTCTCCAAAAAGTGGTTGTTTGCCCCTTTTTTATAACTATACTTTCAAACTAAATTCTTGTGAGGTACACTGCTCGTTTGTTGTTGGCCCGCCTTTTGTGTCTCTGTTCTTGAGGATTTACTTTGTTGAAGCCCGTAAATTCCAAGATTATCATGCTGATATGAATTTTACTTAAAATAGTGAGAGTAAGGAGATTAAGCAAGATAGAAATTTTTTATGAAAATTGAAGAGTTTTATATATGAGTTGGGGTTTAAGATTGTGCTTAGAAAGGAGGAAAGAGAGCAAAACGTTGGAGGCGACTCTGTGATTTTTGGTCTGTTTTACTGTGATAAGGGTCGTTGACAGCAGAGGAAGATGGGGATGGATTTGTAATATATATAAAAAGTAATATTTTAATTAAATAAAGATGTGACGTTAATTTATCTGATGTGGACATGATAATTTCTTTGGGTGAGTGATCAACATGTAATGCCGGAGGGGTTTAGAACACATGTTTTTGACTGAGTTCATGTGTCTGGATGAAATTATGAGGGTGTTTGGCTAAGCTTATAAGCTGGTCAAACTAGCTTATAAGCATTTTTCGGCTTATCTATGCGTTTGGTAAAGTTAAAAGTGCTTATAAGCCAAGTACTTATAAGTTAAAAAAATAAGCCAAAAGCTTATTTTTAGCTTATAAGCACTTTAAGTTTGACCAAGATTTTTATTAGTTTATCCTTAAAATATTTATTTGTAGAACAAAACTCCTGCATCGATACTCACTGCCTCAAGTATTCAACCTAAACCCCCCCTNTCCCTTGCATACTTATATCTATGTAATTGTGTATTAATCTTTGAACTGTATGTAATAAATGATGACATCAAATTTTTGGTGTATTGTTTTCTAAGTGTTGTGGTGACGAAGACAATGTTTGTTTTTCTTCAAATAATTTGTCCTATTTAGGTATATTTTTTAGCAAGACATTTTTGTCAATTTATTAATTATTATAACTTATGATTATATGCTTATCATAAAATAAATTATATTTATCATAAAAATTATCTTATCTAAGCACAATTGTATTTAAAATAAAATGACAAATAGAATATTTTATATTTGAATCGATCTGGAATCTAAAATTTTGAAAAAATTACGCCCTTAAGTGTAAATAGTTCTAAGGTTATTTAAGTCATTTTAACAAAAATAGTTTATCAGCACTTTTTTATCAAATACTGCAGCAACTTATTATCAATTTCAGCACTTGTACCCAGACACGTAACTGCTTATTTATTAAATCAGTTTCAGCAGTTAAAAGTGCCTTTCAGCACCTAATGCTTATCAGCTACTTCAAATCAGCTAATCCAAACGGGCTCTATGTTAAGTACAGGGACCGAGATGACAAACACGAACAAGTATAAGTGTATGTCAGGCTATTCTGCCTATGGTGAACCTAACAGCCCACCCCACTAATAATACTATCAGCTTTGGCCTAGGCCTATATGACTTTAAAATGTGCCACTAAGGTCTAAGGCTTGTGTATTTATATACACAATATCTCTCGTGTTTTATTAATGTGGAATTCACCTCACAGAGGTCTCTTAATTGAAGTGAGTGATGTTCAAGTTTCCGGAGTGTAAAATGAATAGTCAGTACTAAATATCATGATTTTTTTTGAGTAAACAGGAATATTATATATTAATAAATAGTTATTGCGTACATAATCTTCATAATTTGTGTCACTAAGGACACTTTGATTTCCTAAGCTTGCTAGGATATTAAAAGCATCATAAGATAAAGTCTTAATACAAACATAGAGTTCCTCTTGATCACTTTCTACTAGAGAGTTTACATAACATAGTGATAATACAAAAACTTGTTTCCCTTTCTGCCTTGCCTTCTTTGCCAAGTGATGTGCAATCTTATTCCCTTGCCTGAAGGTATGTTGGAGGATCACCTTCTGCTGGTGCATGAACAACCTGCATTTATCAATAATGTTGTTATATAATTTGTTCCCTTGTTGTATTGAATGAATCACCTCCGTGGAGTCCGTCTCTATTTCTAGCGGGAACATTCCCCATTCTTGTGATGTTTTTAGCCCCTCAATGAGTGCCTTCATTTCTGCTTGTACTGAGCCATTAGCCTGGTAGATTTAGCAAATCCAACTATCCAATTCCCATAGGTATCTCGGATTA